ATTTAAATGACTTGAAACACACTTAAATCATTCATATGTAAATCACATGTAGTTATTTCATATGACTCACATATGCGGATCATATGTAAATCATATAATTTGCTTCATATGATTAACATATGATGTCTTTTTTATGATTCTCATATGAAATCAATCATATGAGAATCATATGATACTCATATGAGAATCATATGATACTCATATGAGAATCATATCTGGCTAAGTTGCCTGTGTCATATGCTAAAATTGAATGTAATATATCGCTTCGTTAAAAAGATATCAATTTCTATAGAGAGATGGACTTCATTAAAAAAGCAAAAAATGACGTCAAAGGACGTCACGAAGCCACGAGTATCGATTAATTTGTTTTGTATTCGCGTTTTTTAAACAAACTCTGTGAATAATTAAGAAACCAGAAAATTTTGAAAAAAATGATCCATTCAATTGTTTATGGAAAAGACTATTTTGGGGATGTTCAGGACTTTGAATCGCACGATGAATGGTCTCTAAAGACCATATTATAGTTACAAATCTTGTCAAAAGAGTAAGTAACGAAATGAAACGATGTGAGATTCACTTCCTCGGAACGTGTGAAAGCAAAGCAAGGCGGAAGAGAATTTGAAGTCCTTCACAATCCAAATTAAGCTAATCAAACTGTTGTAAACACACTAGGTGTCATGTGTTATACAGTACCGACCAGACCCAACCTGACACCAAAGCAGTCCCAGAAAGCAGTCCCCGGGACTGCTTTGGGACCGCTCTGGGACTGCTGTGGGACTGCTCTGGGACCGCTGTGGGACTGCTCTGGGATTGCTATGAAAAGCAGTCCCAGCTGCCCCTGGGACTGCTATGAAAAGCAGTCCCAGCTGCCCCTGGGACTGCTTTCTGGGACTGCTTTGTTCACTCATGTGTGACATTGGTTCTGAGTGACAGATAGCTCCGCCCCCTTGTGTATTCTGAATTTGCAGGCTCCATGTTGTTTTGTTTACTTGCAGCAGAGAGGAGTTTAAACTGTTTAATAAGCAAGGATTTCTTATAATCTTTTAATAACTTGAGATTACATGTATTATAGTTAATTTATAGTTTTAGGGACTGCATATTTACACATATGTAATATAGAATATTTTTAAAAATAAAGTTGTTAAATAAGGAAGTCAGGAAGAGATTTTTATTTCTAAAATATAGAAAACTACAGGCTCATGAGAAAAAATATCTACATGTAGATTTATTTTTTTATTAAATCTAATATTAAATACTCAACATTTTCATATGGCACTATATATATACAAGTAGATATAAGATATTTTAATTGAAAAGGCTACACGTTTTACAAGCATCACGCTTAAAGAGTATTACATGTAACCCTAAAATAAAAATCTAACAATTTATTATATGACATGAAATAAAATTATGCCACTATTCTTCCTTAACATAAGCAATGTGAACAATTATACGGGAATTTACAGATGAATTAGTTTTTAATTTATAAATAAGTTATTAAAAGATTAAATGAACAAAAAAATAAAAAAATAATCAGTTGAAAATACCGGGAATTGTGATTTATTTCTTTTTTGTTTTGCTTTTGTTTACCTGGCCGATAATGTGTATAAATAAAATGGTATAAACATCTGCGTGGTTTCAATCGCCTCTGGGCAGAAAACCAATCATGCATGTTATTTGGGTACACTATCAGTGTTACACATCATTGAACATGCTGCTCAATTAACAATGGCCCTAATTTCAATCTATGTAAAAAATGTAATGCAAAAAAAGATAAATGAAATGAGTATAAATTTCTTTCAAGATTAATCAAAGTTAAACATAATCTTATGATTCTATACTGGTCACTTATACAATTTACAAATTAAACAATAATTTTTAAATTAGCATGTAAGTAAAGAATAATCAATACTTAAAAAATATTACTTCGCAAAATAAGCAACGACTTTTTCAAAAGCCCTAATACTTAAAACAAAAATGCCTTAAGAGTATCCCGATAGTATGGAAATCGGCCTGATCTATATTGATAAGATCTATTTAAAACTTATTCTGGTGAAATATATTTAATTCAATTTTAATTTTCTGTATAGAAAATAAAAAAGGGATCCAGTATCAATAACATAAAACCCAAGATAATTGTGATTAAATATTCATGTTCAGTGTAATTCATTTATGTAGGTGTGTAAGCTTTAATTCTTCCTTCAATAAATATTATTTTAAATTGTTTCAAATCTATACGGGTACTGCTCATGTAAATGATCTTCGCATTGTAAGGATTCCTGGCATACTGCTCAGAAAAAAAAATCAGCTGCCTTTTATAGTTCCATTGTTTATTGGCAATCTCATTTCTGAGTTAGCCCCGCCCATTAAATTAACAAACCCCGCCCACTGGGACTGCTCGGACTGCTTTCTGGGACCGCTGGGACTGTTGGGACCGCTCTGGGACTGCTGTGGGACTGCTCTGGGACCGCTGTGGGACTGCTCTGGGACTGCTGCGGGACTGCTTTAGCAGTCCCAGAAAGCAGTCCCCGGGACTGCTCTGGGACTGCTTTGTGTCAGGTTGGGTCTGGTCGGTACTGTAGGTGTTATAGATACAATTTTATAAATGGGGAAGACTCTACAAACCGTGTATGAAATGGAAAGGCAAAGTACGTTTAAGAAACTTTTCGACGTTGTTTTTGACGTTATGGTGTTGTTAACCGTGCTCCTAGGTGAAAAAGCATGTTGTTTTTAAAATTGTCTAACATGAGGTCCAATGGAATGAAACTTTACACACCGAGAAAATAACTGATTTCTCCTATGAAAACGTGTTGATCTTTAGTTTTTTAAAAATAATATGATGATGAAGTACATTGTCTACCTTTTTTTTAATTACCCTCGAGCAGTCAAAAGACACAGAAGATGAAATATGAGATACATAAGTGTATTTAAAACCACTTTGGTATACTAAAAATTACTTTTCAATAATCATGGGAAATATTTGTGATATACCATTAATCTGGAAAAAAATAGAGATTAATTTTTATACACTGATTAGACAATGTTAATAAAATTAAAGATGTATCAATGAAATTTTGTACCCTGTTTCGGAATACATGTTTATAGGATACAATCACCAGAAATATTTTTGGTTTTGCCTTTAATGTAGAGCAAAATGACCAATCCTTATATTTGTAAAGAATATTTTAGCAATTCTTCATGCATTTCAGAATGCAAATATGGGACCTATGATCCAGATTGTAAAACGTGTGGTTATTGTTACAACAATACAGTGTGTGACCACATGGCAGGTTCCTGTCCTGATAGAAAGTGTACAGCCGGATGGAGGTGTGCTTCTGTGATCTTATCATTCCGCTATAAATGCATTTAAAAAAACATAATAATATATATTAAGCAAATTATGAACTAATCTGATGTGAGGAATATTTGTTCATACTCCTGAAATAATTTTTTTGAAATAAGATTTGCTTAAATATAATTGTTACCCCAAACCCTGTAATTTTCTTAGGGAAGGAGTGGTGTAACGAATATAAATGATGTCGAGGTGAAGTCAAGATTAATTTCATGAAAAGTTGATGCAGTTTAATAACAAACATCAGAATTTATCAGCATATGAATATTGATAACACTATCTTGCATAGTTTAATGTTATGTTCAAAAATGAGCTAAAACAAATTTAAGAAATAGGTATGGTAAAAGGAAAGAAAAAAAAGTTTAATATTAGCATATGAAGTTTTTATGACACTGTCTTACATGGTACTGTATCGTGAGAATTTAACTTTATACTTATTCCAGAAAATTGAAGTCAAGGTTAACAGAAACGTTCATGTTAATGCATCATGATATGATTGAATAGCTAGCAACAACATTTATCAAAAGAGGAATTTTCATAATCTTAAATAGTTTCTTTCAGAGGAAGGACAAGTGCACTTAAGCAATACTTAATTGGCCCTTTTTATGTGCCATTTTACTTTATATTATATTTCTAAATCGTTCTCTTTTGGTACTAGTTAGATACTGGTGGATATTTTTAACTAAAAAGCATGTTAAGCATTACTTAAAACCAGCAGGGCTTTGAAACAATTGAATACATTTGATTGCCTTAGGTTACCGTAAATCCGGAAAAGTCGTACTAGACCTTCTTTTAGTTTCGTTAATGTAAATCAAGGGAATTGATATTTAAATCGATGCTTGAACAATATGATGGTGAATCATTGGCGAGCACTTTTGCAGAATTTTACTTCTTGCACCAAACCTGTCTTTAAAAATAATTAATGAATTTGTGTATTTGCATGTAGCTAAAATAATTACATTAAGAAATTCGAACACTTGAATTTGAAAAAAAATACCGTACAATAATAGTTTGATTGAATTTGAAATTAAAATGAAGTTTTCAGTGGCTAAGTTTCATTACCTGTTTTATTGTCTTGCTTGAAGGTTAAAATTATTTGACGCTTTGATAAAGGACACTAGACTCTTTTTACCCTCTGGTGTTTTAAAAAACAAATACATACAGTTATCTGTAAGTGGCAGGACTTTGACTTATTGATTCAAAATCTGCCTAAATTTTAAAGTGAGCACCTTTGAGGAATGTTTACCTTGGTAGAACTCAAGTGTCTCTGTGTATTTCAAATATTTATTCCACACGTGGGTTAACACATTGGGTCATACAGGTAAATAGCTCTCCCTTGTTATCGGAAAACCATTGCAATTTTTTTTTACATTTTTAATATTTAAAGTTCCAGCTAATTCGTGTGCAAATTTCATATTTTCACAAAAGTTTTATACATGTATAATGCGTCTTTTGTCATTTGCACAACGTTATGCTCATGGTTGACAAAAGCTTTGTAATGAACGACCATTCTAGATTTACTACAGAAAATCACAGATGTTGGCCGACCCCTACCACATAGTTTATTTTTGTTCTTTGTATTTAGGTGGATTTTAGCGGTAAATTTTTTTGAATCGTAGGGTTAAGACATCATTTACTGATTTTAGATGAAAAATTGGCCTAATTTGATTGTTAATTCTTTTCACATTTTACCCGGGCCCATAAGTGCACTAGGCTCTCTTCGACAATAGTATGGCTTAGGAATATGGAAATTGGATTTGAACATAACCTCCACGCCTTAATACAGATATAAATATGGTAACCAATTAATATTTCTTAATTATTATCTTATGAATTATCTAGGTGCATATTTTTTTTTAATTTCAGAATGTGATAACAGAACGTTTGGATTGTACTGTCAATATAAATGCAGCGGGTACTGTTCGAGGGGACTTCCCTGTAACAAAGTCAATGGAATTTGTCTTTTGGGATGTGCAAACGGATGGATAAATCCTTTCTGCAATGAAAGTAAGTATATATTTTATTGATAGTTTTTAAACTTGAAACTGTATTTAAATTTGATTCGATAACCAGGTTACATGTAGTTATGGTTGAAAAGAAGAACAGACTTGAGGACAAACTTATTAATTACACACCTCCGTATTGTCAATTAACAATGGTTATTTCCATTCTTATGTCAATACGACATATCTGGTGAGGTTCAGATAAAAGTTTTGTAAACATTCCGTTAACTTTAAGAAATTAAAAACTCTCAAAGGTTTAATGGAGAACCCAACCTTTCTTTAAAGCAGGGGATGACAGGGAAGTAAATTATCCCAGTTTGTATAAGTGGTTCAAATTTAGATACGGAAATTAAAAAAAAATGTATATATCTACTTCTCAGAAGGGTATTTTAAAGGATTTTACATATTTTTAGTGACTCCTGCTCTCTATAACTATAGGTTTTTTTCGGAAATCAAATATGGAATTTAGTATGTGTAATCCATTACTTTTTATCATATGGATTAATATTATGTGTTCTGCTTCCTGTCACGGTAAAGTTACTTCTTAAGCTATATTTTGAAAATTAAACTTGTCAAAATTATTTTAGTTTCATGGAATATATGTATTTTTATTTAAACGCAAGAGAGAAATTATCTCTAAATTTCCAGGAATCATTTTTGTTGTTAATAGATTGAATTTCTAATTCTACATTTATTTCAATTTTCTTATGTAAAAACCAATATTAAGATATTTTGATAACAGAATAATTTTCTGCTGTACTGACGAAATGATAATCCACCATTCATTCAAATGAATTGTGACTGAGTGTCCACTGAATGGTCACTGTAAAGACCCTCTCCCGTGATCTTTCCATGATCATTCAGTAACAAATCAGTCGACTGAATGGCACATACATTTATGTGACTTTCAGTTATTATTCAGTTGTATCTTTTTATTGAAAAATTGTTTTTTTAACTTAAAAATTTTATTTCACTTTTTTCTGGTGTTATGGCAATAAAATATCTAAACTTGAATAAATATATGGAAAAAATAATTTAAGAAAATATAATTGTGCGCAAGGCCAGAATCGAGCTCTGGTCTCCTGCTTGATAGTACGCAACCTTATCAAATACGCTACGCTACGACTTTGTGTTGTAACGAGTGGATTTAAAGTCAATCAATTTATAGAAATGGATGGAACAATCGGTTCATCTGTTGTATCGAAGTGCTGCAATGTGTATATATCTGGTATATCTTTTGTATATTCTTTGTTTGTTGTGCGGATTTTGGGGACAGACTGATTAATTACACATCTCCTATCGGAATGATGACAATTATCAGCGACCGTCACATGTTCCTATGTCAGAGATGTAAGATTGTTATGAATTCTCTACCTAGAAACTTAATTAGTAGAATAATTTTAAAACCGTACGTACATTTATCATTTAAAAGCAAACAATCTACAATATTTAGATTTTTTTCTACAAGAGACCAAATTAAGAAACCAAATTTATAATATAAGGGTTCTTTCGGAAAAAAAACGATGTTAATGATATAAATTTTTGTCTCATCATAAAAAAACTAAATATTTTTATGAAAAATACACGAATAAGCATATAGAATGTGTTTAACGGCATTTATTTCAATTTGGATTCGACTATCGGATCATCACATTTTTATTACTTGAAGAATTTTTGTTTTCTAAATCTAATTAGAAAATTAAAAATTATCTTGAATTAGTATCATTTATCTCTTATAAATATAATAACTATTTAAACTGCTTTTTAAGGTACCTAAATTTAATTACGATAAGAAAAAGATACACAATTAAGATTAACTAATAAATCTTTATTCAAAATATTGCTTCGGAAAAATGTATGATAATAAATTGATTTGCTAGTGAAAAAATTCGCTAAATGGAGACTAAAATATCACTGAAAGGTGACGGAGAGGTAAATAAAAGATTTGAAATAAAAGGTCACTGAAAGAGGGCGGAAAGGTCACTGAAAGAAAGTTGACTGAAATGTGTCCGCTGAGTGGTGACTGAAAGGTACCTTAAATGTGACTGAAAGGCATCTGAAAGGTCACTGAAATGTATTTACCATTCAGTGGCTGAATGGTCACTGAAAATTCATTGAAAATCGCCTTTCAGTTTCTTCCTGTGGTTCCTTCTTTTAAATGTAATAGTTTCTTGTAAGTTTGTGGAAGCTGATTCGTCGACAAAAATTTGAAGAAAAAGTACACTTTATATTACCCGCTGAATAATGAACCATGCCCTCTAACAGACAACAGCAACAGTCAACATTGCTTGACGACGGGTGATATCCCAAAAAAGATGTTGACTGCAAAATTTATGCGCGCAAGGTTCACTGTAATATTTGTATTAAGCATTCAGTGCAACACTGCAGGAAAGCGACTGACCATAGTATATATTACGGTCATCATAACATGTCGGATGAGGTCACCGTTTAAAATTTTTCTGTCAAGATTTCAAACATCTGCCAGATTATCTGTGTTAATTCTTGCAAAATTTAAATGAACTCTAATGAGAACTTTCTATTGGTTATTATAACTTATTTAATTTTTAGGAAATAAAACTTAAGTACGGCCTAAAAGTTTTTGGCAATGATGATCGTAACACACACAATCAACAAAGTATGATTTGCCAAAGTTTTAAGATGAAAAATATAGATTAACGCTATTGACTTTAGTGTACAGTCCGTAGACTATAGTTTACAAGTAATAAACCTAGTTTATCGAATGTGAAATTATGTTTTGCTTATTTTTGTGAATTTGGCGTGCCACAGCTTTGGTTCAAAATTACATTTTCATCTTTGTCTTTTTCAAAACAAAAATAACATGATATATCTGTCTCTAAAACAGAAACGAAAAATTAATACATTAAATTATATTTATGTATATTACGGTCATTCTACTTCATTGGAAAAATCTATATTACGGTAATCTTAATTTTTTTTACGGTCATCATTTGCAGAAAACTTTGAGGTCATACTACAGTTTTTTTTCCCTAAAAAACAAGTTATTTATAGTAATCAATAGCAAGTTCTTATTAGTGTACATTTAAATTTTGCAACAATTTTTACAGATAATCCAGCAAATGTTTGAAATCTTGAATGAAAAATTCTTACCGGGAACCTTGGGCGACATGTTTTGATGACCATAAAATATACTACGGTCAGCCGCTTTCTTACAGTGGTATCATATTCCCAAAACTGGGTGTTCTTAAGTGTAACACTGAAGTTTATATCCCTTCAAAACCTTTGTCGACCTCGACTTCGCTTCAGTTTTTCTTGGGTTGAAATTTTCAATGTTACACTCAACTTAATGCAAAAAACATGATTTTCATAATGTTCATTGACCTTTAAGTTAAAAAAAATGTTTTTCTTCACGTTTCATTTTATTTTATTCAGGTAAATTTATCATACAAAGTCTTGGTTCACATTTAAAGCATTACAGAGAAAAAAAGAAAGCTAATATCATCTCAACATCATGCTACTAAATGAAGATTTAATTTAACATATACATGTTTTATTACATGAATTAACTAAGTTGCATGACATACAGATGATAGATTTTACTGAATATAATTCATTGATTTTTCTTATATCTATCGAACGTGCATAAAGTCTTATGTACTCGTATATAATTTTCTTCTCTAAAGATAAGCCTACATTACTTATAACTAACAAGACGAAAGTGGAAAGCAGCTCTCTGTATGTATCGGGATCTTACTCCGGAGATGCAAACAAAACCATCGATAGAAACTTCAATCAGAGTTATGTTGATTGTATGCACACGGCCCCAAGACAGTCAGAGGCCTGGTTAAATATTGACCTCGGTAGAGTCTTCAATTTGAAAAGTGTTCGAATATGGTACAGGAGTGACCGTGAGTATTTTTTGTTACAATTAACCTGAACTAGAGAAATGCAATTATACAAAAATAAAATGAATTTAATAGAGTCGGAGGCCTGGTTAAATATTGATCTGGGTAGCATCTTCAATTTGAAAAATTTTCGAATTAGGTACAAGAATGATTGTTTGTTGTTTTTTTTTTTTTTATCATTTGACTTGAACTAGAGAATTGCAATTATAAAAGCAAAGAATGAATTGAATAGATGGTTTATAAATAACGTTTCCTGTTCTGGAAATACATCCAGTTTATGATCAGTTTAAAAGCTGATAGAAAGTCGTAAAAGTCAAGATGAAGTAAATATTTTAGATATGAGAATATCATAACATTAAAAAAAAGTTAATGCTGATATGTTTAGGTGGAGCGTACAGTACTAAAAGACTGAGCAGATTTTCAGTACTTGTATCAAATAATTCAGGATGGAGTGTTAATGACACCTGTTATCAGGATTCCGGAAATGCTACTCTTAAAACAGTGCTTGAAGTGAATTGTTTTCATACAGCTCGATATGTTAAGATATACGCAAAAAAGAATATTGATGGGGATCCTATTCTTGAGATCTGTGAGCTGGAGATTTACGGTATGTCTTTCATGTTTACGGTACATGTAGATCTTTCTTTACAACCAACCGATTCGTGAAATATTTTATTTGCAATTTGTCAGTTTGAAATCATTCCGAGACGATTAATTTACATGACTCCGAAAACAGTTTCTCTATAAATACTAGCTACCGTATACTCTTGCCTATAAATCGCTTTTGGGACTGAAATCTTGTTGCACATAAACATATATATACAGTTTAATTGAAAATAATCAGTAAACGTAATATTTTCTGTATAAACACAGGTTGTTCATACCAGAACGTTGATGGAAATTGTATTTCTTGTGACTAGTGTAAGAATGATTGTAAATTAAACGGAGAATGTGATGAACAGGGGTGTAAAAGTGATAGCCTTCCTCCTCCATTCTGTAAATGTATTTTCTCAAATATGCAAAAAAAAAAACAAAACAAATTGTATCCCATAGATGTGTAAAAGTTGTATTCTAAAGCTGTTTATCATATAACTTATCATTTGATTGTTTTACTTTTTAGTAGAAAGATTTTAAGCGTTATTTGCTTTGCGATGAGAACTGGTCCCATGACCATAAACTGAAAATAGACATAACTAAAAATATCAAATCAATAAAACTTTTGAAACAATCTTGATAAGAAATCAAAATTTTCATGTCTTTAGATTGGATTATTAAATAAACTTTCAAATATTGAAGTACATAAAATTAATATAACCCATGATATTCAAAATCAAAACTGTGTCTTGAATTTGTTCTCAGTTTATGGTCTTGGGGCTTGGGTGTTGATTGTAGGCGGTGCATGCATTTCTGACAAAACATTAAATAAGAAAATAATTTTAGAATGCAGGGAAGGTTTCTACGGAAGAAATTGTAGTCTTGTCTGTGGACACTGTGCTAAACAAGCAGTATGTGATCAGGTGGATGGTTCTTGTCCCTTGGGATTCTGTGAACCAGGATGGAAACATACACTTGATCAAAGATGCAATGAAGGTATTGATGCAATTATTTCTTTAAAATAAACATTTTTATAACTTTCATACTTTAGTTTGACATACACTTTTTTTTTAAATCAATGTACATATTTGACTGCAGAATGTGAAAAAGGAACTTACGGGTTAGACTGTAGTCACAAATGTGGATACTGTGCAAAAGGAGTATCGTGCAACAAAGTTGATGGGAGCTGCCTCGGAGGTTGTGAAGATGGATGGACGAATCTCCACTGCAATGAAAGTAAATGCACGATTTTGATTTAAAGAAAATTAAGTCCACCAAATGATTAGGTCCCGCATTTATGGATTAGTTTAGTTATGATTTTAAAATGCATAAAAAACTCTTAATATAAAAGATAAATATTCATGTAACAAATCGCAAAAAAATATTTCTAATTTGATGGATTAGTCATCGGAAAGTCAGTTTCTATCATAAAAAAATATCAAAACATGTGTGCCCTTATGTATTTTATGCAATATCTCGAATGCTAATTACCATGTGGTTTCTGTGGAAAAACTACAGGCAAACATTAGGTCACGTACATATATATATATTCACGTGCGATATTGTCAAAATTTCACAATTAATGATGTCAAATTTAGCTTTAAGAATTCTAATAGTTGTTAAAATCAACTGACAACCTGTATTATATGTAATAACCTACATACCCTGCACAATTGTAACAAAGTCAGTGGAATTTGTCTTTGGAATGTGAAGCCGATTGGATAAATTCCTACTGCAATTAAAGTAGATATATATCTTGTTGAACGTTTTCAACCTGTAATTGAATTTTTTTATTCTTTGTGCATACTTTGACATGCTTGTCAAATCAGAAAATTTATATCCAATAAAGATCAAATTTCGTTTACTTCGTTATACAGTCATGTAAGCAGTTATCAACGAAAGTGAATCCGATCGGAGAAAAAAAATGAAAAATTGAAATATTTTTATTACGATTTTGGAAATGAAAGTCAGTGCCATTTAATCATACTAAATATGTCCAAAGAAATATCATTCTCAAAAAACTATGTAAATTGAAATCTTTCATCTATTTCATTAAACAAAATTAATCAAAAACTCTTATGGTACAAACTTATGGGTTAGACAACTGTAATCATGATAACAAGAAAAAAAATATAATTTAAATTAATTTGTTTCTGAAAGAAATATAATTGTCCTAAACTCTAGAGAGAATGTTCACTCTCCTTTCAAATTTTCGGACTATTCGTTATACAATCATGTAAACAGTTATCAACGAAAGTGAATCCGATCGGCGAAAAAAAATGAAAAATTCAAATATTTTTATTACGATTTTGGAAATGAAAGTCAGTGCCATTTAATCATACTAAATATGTCCAAAGAAATATCATTCTCAAAGAATTCTGTAAATTGAAATCTTTCATCTATTTCATTAAACAAAATTAATCAAAAACTCTTTTGGTACAATCTAATGGGTTAGACAACTGTAATTATGATAATAAGAAAAAAAAAATAATTTAAATCAATTTGTTTCTGAAAGAAATATAATTGTCCTACACTCTTTGAGAGAATTTTCACTTTCCTTTCAAATTTTTGGTCATAATAGTCTCATAATAGCGTGTATTTTTGGAATCGATATTTATTCAAATATTGTTTGCCTCTCCACATCCAACTTTGAGAAATCTCATGTCATGATAGACTTTGATTCGTTAAAGGCCCTTCACTGAACAATGCTCCTTATTGCTGAGTAAAAGCGAACTGTGAAGTTCTCCACTAGTTTATGATATCTAGGTGTGAAACATTCTCAAATGGGGCATACAAGCACAATCAATCAATCGAATTTCAAATTCAATATAAAAAACAGATTATATTGTGAAAGAATTTGAAAAAAGCAACATGGGTCATGTTTAAATGAATGAAATGAATAACTCTCACTCCATAGCTTTTATTTTTCTTTATTTAGATTTGCACAAAAATTGAATTTAAAGTGACAGATATTTTTACAAGATTAATAAAGAAGGTTTCAGAAGTGCAGACTTTTGAACATCACAAAGGGTTTACATTTTTTTTTTATATTCTAGAAATTTATTATTATTTGCGATGTGAGAACTGGTCCCATGACCATAAGCTGAAAATAGACATAACTAAAAATATCAAATCAATAAAACCTTTGAAACAATCTTGATAAGAAATCAAAATTTTCATGTCTTTAGATTGGAATATTAAAAAAAACTTTCAAATATTGAAGTACATAAAATTAATATAACCCAAGATATTCAAAATCAAAACTGTGTCTTAAATTTGTTCTCAGTTTATGGTCTTGGGGCTTGGGTGTTGATTGTAGGCGATGCATGCATTTCTGACAAAACATTAAATAAGAAAGTAATTTTAGAATGCAGGGGAGGTTTCTACGGAAGAAATTGTAGTCTTGTCTGTGGACACTGTGCTAAACAAGCTGTATGTGATCAGGTGGATGGTTCTTGTCCTGAGGGATACTGTGAGCCAGGATGGAAATATACACTTGATCAAAGATGCAATGAAGGTATTGATGCAATTATTTCTTTAAAATAAACATTTTTATAACTTTCATACTTTAGTTTGACATACGCAGCACAGTTAAGGTTACAGTAAAGAGGCGGGGCCTAATTTGTACGGGAAATGTTTACTATGACGTCACACATAATATAAGGTCTTCAAAATACCACAAAATGAACTTATTTGCTATTTCAAACAGCTGGATAGTTGTATACTATATACAAACTTACTTTTACATGCAGTTTTGTCGTTTCTCAAGTCCCACACAACAGTATATAAACGATACGTCGATCGCAATGCACTGGTCAATGTGACGTCATCTCGCAAAAATGACGCAGTTTGTATACAGTGAGAGGCTGATCAAGTCACATTTTGTACAATGAAAAATATCTTTTGTTCTCAAGTAAAATATTATTTGCAGTAAAATAAATAGCCGTTAAGTTAGATGTCATGTTTATTTTAGTATATTATTGATAAACTGTACGTGCATTCTCCAGACAAGCGATACTGTCGTGTGTTTGTATGCAGATTCATTGAAAAAGTAATGGAAGGGCCCTAATAAATCGAATTATTGCAAGGGCTTACCCTCAATGTATCTTGTCAAAATTTTACACATAAACTAAAGAAGCATTCAGATATTTGAAAAGTGCTGCGAACCTCTTGAAATCTTGCAAATGAATTAATTAAAGCTATATTTAATGTACTTGACCAGCAAAATATTCAACCTGCCGTCCAACAAATTAAATTTTACCAATTAATAAAGGGAATCTATATAGGTTCGCAGCACTTTTCACAAACAACATATAGTGTTGAAAAGGATTATAAGATAAACTAAGATTTTTAGCTTGGTTATGCCCTTGCAATATTGAGATTTATTGATGACCTCTAAACTGCAAGTATAATTGCCAAAGTCATGTGACGTTGACAGCACATGACAAGTCTAACTAAAAAATCCAAATGTCCCCAGCATGTAGATTTAAACCACATTACATATTTTTGATATCAGTTAATTCCTAAAAAGAATCGCCCATCCTAATAAAGTATATATTTTTTATCTTAAAAAATCGCCGATATTTCCATTTGTAACCTTAACTGTGCTGCGTACATTTTTTTTTAAATCAATGTACATATTTGACTGCAGAATGTGAAAAAGGAACTTACGGGTTAGACTGTAGTCACAAATGTGGATACTGTGCAAAAGGAGTATCGTGCAACAAAGTTGATGGGAGCTGCCTCGGAGGTTGTGAAGATGGATGGACGAATCTCCACTGCAATGAAAGTAAATGCACGATTTTGATTTAAAGAAATTTAAGTCCACCAAATGATTAGGTCCCGCATTTATGGATTAGTTTAGTTATGATTTTAAAATGCATAAAAAACTCTTAATATAAAAGATAAATATTCATGTAACAAATCGCAAAAAAATATTTCTAATTTGATGGATTAGTCATCGGAAAGTCAGTTTCTATCATAAAAAAATATTAAAACATGTGTGCCCTTATGTATTTTATGCAATATCTCGAATGCTAATTACCATGTGGTTTCTGTGGAAAAACTACAGGCAAACATTAGGTCACGTACATATATATATATATATATATATATATATATATATATATATATATATATATATATATATATATATATATATATATATATATATATATATATATATATATATATTAGGGATGTCAACGAGTACCCGGTTAACCGGGTACTCGATGGAAAGTCCGAGTATCGAATACTAAAATCGGTACTCGGTTACTCGGATGTATATTTTTGAATATTTCTAAGCTTCTTAATTTATGAATTAAACAATCCGTTTTAAAAGGTAATGTACGCATTGCACTTGTACATACAGTTATTAGGGTTTCCTACTCCTCTAAATGACCGTTATCGCCCGTGGCAGTGTTTATACAATAATTATCGTGACCAAGCGCCTGTTACCTGGCTTTTCTCACCTTCATCTGTCTTCTACCCTTATTTTTTGATTTTCTTTAATTATTTGCTTTCACTGAACATCTTTTAAGGTCTGTTATGATTAAATAAATTAGATAATTTTGTCAAATCTCCGAGAAGCCGTAATTTCTCGGGAATAGAGACAAATGATATTACACGCGCGACTGTTGATATGGTTGTGTTTCATTACATGCCAATACATGTACAAATAGTTGACGGCAAAGGCTTAAAAAATTATGTCCATCATTGCACCAAACCACAAAATACCGTCCCCTGATACTATAAAATATAGGATCGAAAAGTATACGAAAATCGTAAATCGGTTCTGTTAGAACTTAGTCCTTGTTAAACTGTACGACTGATATATACAATGTACCTTGACGTCAAATGCAACAAAGAGTTACATTACAATTACGGAGTAGATTTTTTTTAAACAAATACACCATGAACCACTAAGGATTCTATTTCTTGTGTTTATCTGATAAATGAATTGAACTTAAATAAATGTTGTATTAAATTTCGTCGGGCACGAAGTTCTAATCATTGTTACAACAGAAATGCATTTACGTGTAAACCTCCCATCAGAGCATGTGGTTTTATTTCTACAAGTGTTTACAGTGTTTTACTTTCATCAATTTACTTGTTCATATTTATTTACACGTTTACCGAGTACCCGGGTACTCGATCGGAAAAACGTCCGAGTAACCGAGTATTAAGAATTGACTGATTTGACATCCCTAATATATATAATATATATATATATATATATATATATATATATATATATATATATATATATATATATATATATATATATATATATATATATATTCACGAGCGATATTGTCAAAATTTCACAATTTATGATGTCAAATTTAGCTTTAAGAATTCTAATAGTTGTTAAAAAAATAAAAAAAAATCAACTGACAACCTGTATTGTTATACCTTTAGAAATTTGTTCCTATACAATTATATACAAAAAAAGTCTAACATTTTTGATGTTTTGCTGAGCGGGCATAAAACAATCGATGTTGGACCGCTGAGTGAGATGTTGGACCGCTCGGAGAGATGTTGGACCGCTTACGTCACAGAGTGGGCGGATCTTAATCTCATTTTCATTCGCTGGTGTTAAACAGTGATAGATCTGATGTTACATCACGGACCTAAGTACAAAATACATGTAAATATATAAAAAAAAAGAAAGGTATAACAAAACATTTATTGACAGAGTTCTCGGGCAAAATGCGTTTTGTCGAACCCTCGAACCAAACTGTCTGCCTTCGGCCTAACGGCCTCAGGCAGACAGTTTGGTTCTTGGGTCCGACAAAACGCATGTTGCCCTCGAATTCAGTTAATAAATGTATATTATATGTAATAACCCACATACCCTGCACAATTGTAACAAAGTCAATGGAATTTGTCTTTGGAATGTGAAGCCGAATGGATAAATTCCTACTGCAATCCAAGTACATATATATCTTGTTGAACGTTTTCAACTTGTAATTGTATTTTTTTTTATTCTTTGTGCATACTTTGACCTGCTTGTCAAATCAGAAAATTTATATCCAAATAAAGATCAAATTTCGTTTACTTCGTTATGCAGTCATGTAAACAGTTATCAACGAAAGTGAATCCGATCGGCGAAAAAAAAATGTATACAACTATTCAGTCATATGGGTACACATGTAATTTCGAACAACGAAATTTAATGTCCCCAAAACCTTTATAGATGTTAATTTTTTTCAAATTTCACACCCAACAAAAAACTGTGCTTGTATAGCTTATGCTGTGTCTGAAGAATAACAGAGTTGGATAATTGACTAATTTTATTTTCTATCGAAAATATTCACTTTTGTTCAATACATTTTTTAAGTCAGCTAAGACAGACGAATAAGTAGAAAGTGAATATATTTCCAGCTTGCCTGACAAATTTCTACGGAAAAAACTGTAGTTTTCCGTGTGGACAATGCGCAAACAACGCAACATGTGATCACATGACAGGACTCTGTCCTTCTGGACTCTTTAAACGAGGATGGAAAAATACTAGTGATAAAAGATGTATATGTAATGATAGTAAGTGTTTCTGTACTTCATGACGATTGTTAACTTTGGTATATACGTATTATTAATTGCGGTTTGGATTGCAGAATGAGAAAACGAAACCTTTGGATCAAATTACGAAATCAAAATGCAATGGACATTGTGCTGGAGGAATAGCATGCAACTGCACACCCTTCAATACAAATTCTATCGACTTTCGATTGAATTTGTACTGAAGGCTGTGCAGTTGAAATGATTAATCCGTACTGCAATAATAGTATGTTAACTTTTTTACTTTTTCTTGTATTCTTGAGACATAGAGAAAACACTTGGAATTAATTGTTTGTGTTTTCTTGAATGAAATTCCTCTTTAATACAATGTGAATTTAGGCGCACAAAATTGTTAAGATATGCGCTCCACATTTATATTAAATAATACTTCATTAAGAATCACATCTTATTGTTTTTTTTTTTTGTTTTTTTTTTTTTTTTTTTTTTTAAACAGATTTATGAAAATCCCATTGCTGAGTTTTCATATACACATACATGTGGTATTTTAAAAATGGGATTTTTCCTCCTAAAATATTTTCTCTGGAAAATTGGTTTTTGAGGACATAACAACATTTCCTTCCAACCACTTCCACCACCACCCCACCCCGCCTTGGAAATTGAAATATTTTTATTACGATTTTGGAAATGAGAGTCAGTGTCATTGAATCATACAAAATATGTCCAAAGAAATATCATTCTCAAAGAATTCTGTAAATTGAAACATATAAATCTTTCATCTATTTCATTAAACAAAATTAATCAAAAACTCTTATGGTACAATCTATAGGGTTAGACAATTGTAATCATGATAACAAGATAAAAAAAAGATAATTTAGATTCATTTGTTTCTGAAAGAAATATAATTGTCCTACACTCTATGAGAGGATTTTCACTCTCCTTTCAAATTTTCGGTCACAATAGTCTCGTGATAGCGTGTATTTTTGGAATCGATATTTATCCAAATATTGTTTGTCTCTCCACATCCAACTTTGAGAAATCTCATGTCATGATAGACTTTGATTCGATAAAGGCCCTTCACTGAACAATGCTCCTTAGTGCTGAGTAAAAGCAAAATGTGAAGTCCTCCACTAGTTTATGATATCTAGGTGTGAAACATTCTCAAATGGGGCATACAAGCACAATCAATCAATCGAATTTCAAATTCAATAAAAAGAACAGATTATAGTGTGAAAGAATTTGAAAAAAAAGCAACATGGGTCATGTTTAAATGAATGAAATGAATAACCCTCACTCCTTAGCTTTTATTTTTTTTTCATTTAGATTTGCACATAAATTGAATTCAAAGTGACAGATATTTTTTTAAAGATTAATAAAGAAGGTTTCAGAAGGGCAGACTTTTGAACATCACAAAGGGTTTACAATTTTTTTATATTCTAGAAATTTATTATTGGCATCATTAGTATCGAAAAAAAATTTTTTCCTTCGTTTTTCAAGAGCAGTGTTTGTTTGAGAGAGAGAAAAAAAGAGAGATTTCAATATCTCTTTGATTCAAATATTGACAAAATTTAATAGGGAACCCATCAATAATATAAAGTAAATAATCTCTTAGTACATCCTTCGTCCAAGCAAAGATACAAAGATCATATACTCTCTGTAAAAGGCAAAATAAATTATTGTACCAATTTTGTATCAATAGATATTATTTAAACTTTTGACCGGTCAGCAGGGGATGCTTTCTCCTTATGGCACCTGATCCCACCTCTGATGTTTCGTAGGTCCGTGTTTGCTCTGCTCCTATTTTGTATAGTTTAATGGACTTTGAGATTTAAATACTGTTCGTTATCTCTATATCCTTATTTAAGCATTACTTTTACAAGGTCCTATATAAATTAAAATTTGGATATGAAAAGTAATATTTTAGATTCCATACTGAACCAATTTTTGTATGAATCTTAGACATTTTAATATTCATTAGAAATAAATGGACTTTAGTTTATACAGTAAGCGAAGAAATATCGATTTTAGGCTCAATTCGGGAAATCCTACTATATGAACGAAGAGGGGATTTGGCTTTAGTGTAAGATTTCAAATTCGGGGGAAAATCCTACTCTACATCATTGATACCTTTAGTTTTCATCTGTGAAATATAACCACGGTTGGTAAATTAATGTACATTAATGAAAACAGAATCAATAAAGAAAGATCATTGTATAAAGTAGACCATAAAAATGTAGCTTATTTGTTAAGAATATATCTGTAATTATCGATTTAGAGAACAGCTTTTGTCAATAAAAACACCCTTTCAGATATTTACACAAGTAACTCGGCATTTCATTTTAAATTGGAATTAAATATCTTCAAATATGTAGGGAATCACTGCCTACTTATTTGAGTATGCTAGGAACATCAACGATAAATGAAAATGGTGGATATTTATGTATTAAGGGAGAAACGGTGGATAATTTGTATAACGTGCAAAGTACTTTATGTATAAATTATCCCAGTTTTCTAAGTACATTGTACTATTTCCCTGTCAATGAATCCTCCGTTTCCATTTCTCTGTGACATAAAATTTTAAATTTAGATTTTAAAAATGTTTAAATATAGATTAAAAAATTAACGAAGCTTTCAATGTCAATTTCAATAGTCCTTGACGACTGACGTTAGATACAAAGATGAACCTCCGAGGCCTACATGCATATTGGGCTAAACTTACCTCACGACCTTTCAATTGGCAAAATTAACATTCCGATTAAATTAACAAGAAATCAACTCACCTTACTTTCAAAGAGTTGTCACAGAAAACAAAAAATAGAAAGTGAAATATATCAAGTAAGACAAATGCAAAGTACTTTAATTTGTGATAGATAGTTAAAGATTTGCAATCAAGATTTTATCAATTATAGCAATTATAGTGTCATGTTATTTTGATCACATGCATAGATGGAGCTCTGTTTACTTCTATGGAGAACTGTATTTAAAATCAATTTTGATAAGGGTAATTATAAAGATAAATAAAAGGAGTGAAAATACCTTAACAGTTCATACATACACATTTTGCTTTTCTTTTAAGCGACCAACAAGGGACCAGAGTGGGATTCAAACCAAATAGTCATATCATCTCTGTATGGAGTTATCGCAGCTCTCTTTTTAAGTATGCTGCTTAACATTTTTCTTATTGCCAGGTGGGTCTAAACTTCATAAATTATGGACAAAAGGGTTTCATAATTATAAGATCATTTAACAAAATTTAAGTCATAAGTAATTGTTCCAATTTTCTTCTCTGAATATTTAAAGCTATGGTGTGATTTTGTAAAATACCATTATCTTTTAGAAATGCCAGAAGAGCTTTTTACAAAAGACAAAGCTTAAACGTTGGAAATAAGGAAGAAAATTCTGCAAAAGAATCCTACGTTACTGCTCCGGTAAGAATTGAAGAAAGGACAAACAGTCAAGAACCTGTACAATTAATTAATCCCTCGATTAATGACACAGAAGAAAGCAATGCAGGTTATCTAGAACTTGGACAATTGAGCCAACCCTCTCATTATGAGGAACTAGAGCGATATCAGGTCAAAGTTTTACCATCTGTGTGTTGCTTTGGACTTAGCAAGTTTCATTCACCAAATTAAAATTAAGACCCTTCATGAATGTCATTATTAGTTAATAAAAACAATTACTAGTATACAAAATTTTGAATTAGTTTCTTGAATCGTGAAATTAAAACAATCACAATTGGTAATCTTTGAGATATCATGAAATTCAAACACCGTGGAATCAAAACTACTAAAATTTGCTTACAAGAAATTCTGATTTTTGGTTGATTTCTGACTAAAATTTGTAATTTTGTCATCATGACTAATCGGTTTCATTATTTTAAGATGAAACTTCATTATACTGTATATGTCTGAAAGATTCCTTGTACTTTGATAAATGTTGTCATAACTTAACACTGAAATTAACTGAATAAACCAAAAAAGGGAAATGAAAGGAAAAAAATATACGTGCACGAGAGAGAGAGAGAGAGAGAGAGAGAGAGAGAGAATGGAAATGACTAAAATTTTGTTTATTATACAAGAGAGAGAGAGAGAGAATGGAAATGACTAAAATTTTGTTTATTATACAAGAGAGAGAGGGAGAGAGAGAGAGAGAGAGAGAGAGAAAGAGAGAGTAGAAGAAGAAGAAGAAAATGAAGAAGAAGACGAAAAAAAGGAGAATAAAAAAGTGGCTTTATACAAGAGAGAGAGAAAGAGAGGGAGTTCTTACAACCAAGTTATGAAAGTTTTTTATGTACAAATATTATTTTGTAGTTGAATTTTCTTTTTACTCTATTTTCCCGTATTTAAGAGCAATGTTTACACTATCGTTTTATCCCATAAGTATATTTTAAAAAATAAAGGGAAAAAAATTTGTTGTACTGGTTTCTTACAACTTCAGTGTAAAACTGATCCATATTTTCTGACGAATTAAAATCATCAGCTTTGATTACAGAGACAGCTTTAAAATTTCTTATGCAAGTATGTTACATTTAATCAAAACTGATGGTGATTTTTTTCAAAGATTGAAGAGTTTATTTATTGTCTTTAGATAACGCAAAAATATTTCTAAAACTTCTTATGTTTCAGAGTTAAGCATTGGTTAGGATTTGAATGCAGTTCAACTGATGTTTGTGACTAAAGTCGACTTAAAATACCATTATGTCCTCAAAGGTTGCATATCTAAAGTTAGCAGAAATTCTGAGTTGATATTGTTCTTTTGCAATATAATGAAAAGAAAACCAAAACATAAAAGATAGACGCCAATTAAACTTAAATGCTTAATTGCTTTTAATTGGAGGGGGTAGCTTAATACCCTTTTATGTTTCTTAGTATTCTTGCCAGACAACTGAGCTTGTTTTTTGGTTAAAGCAGGCAAAACAAACAACATTATTGAAGTGAGAAAATGTCATTTATTGAAGTAAATGACGTAAAATTAGTAAAAACATATTTACAATGCAAGACAGGGGGTCAGAAAGGGGGACTTAAATATAAAATATTACATATCTTTATCACAATATTGCACAATCTGACCCCCAGCACCACCTTATAGAGAAACACCGACATTGTACGAACGAACGTAACCAAAAAAGGGATCACTCATGGCATTCACAGTTGTATTATCTAAATTTTGAATTTTATTGAGATATCAGTCGATAAAATCCCCACAAGATACCTCAAAGCTACCTCATGTGGTAGTCGCTACCGCGTTACTGTTCTTACAACGCTAGATTTAAATAAGCAATTTGTTAGAAGGACGGGAAGCATGGGTTTTATATCTCCCTTAATCAAGACAATGATTTTTTAACTAAAAAAATGTTGAATATTATCTGATTTTTTAGATCATATCTTTGCATTTTTTTAAAAACATTTTTAGGTGGGCATTGGATAGATCGAGATTATATGCTTTCTTTGAATATTTTCTTTGAAACTTTGTAAAATTTTCATTAACAATAGGCAATATAACAATATTAAAAGACAGAAAGCTTTTGCTAATTAATTTATGCAAACAAACAATAGACAGCTCTTTCTACATGTGTACATGCAAATAATAGAAATGGATTGATTGATTGATTGTATACTGTTTAACGTCCCTCTCGGAAGATTTAAAGATAAGACTAAACTATTTAGGATACCACAATGACAAATTCAGTATGAAATAATATTAAAAGGTTACTCACTTTACTATACCAAATGTGATAATGCTACGTCTGTGGACACTTAACTAAACCAACTTGATATTATTTACTTACATTCATTAATGATATTTTAAGAGTACATCTTCCTGTGCGATAAGTAAAGCCGATTTCATAGACACTTTAAAGGATTTGGTGTTGTGCTGTAAATGGCTAATTCTTAATAATGTTCATATTTAAACAATAAATACTACAATTTTTCATGGAGAAAAAAAACTATCCTTGTAGCCATAACAAGGATACGCCTTTGAAGGAATATTTATTTTACCAAATAAGACTGGAATGCTTCAAAGATTAAAATATAGACATCGAAATATCTTCTGTCATTTTTAGAACTTAAATAAGCAGAATATAAGATAGTGATATATAAAGATACAATGAATCAAACTTTCAAATCAAATCTCGTTTTCCTATTTTGAAAAAAAAATGTTCATAAAAGTTATGTGCAATAACCAAGCGGGTCAGTTTGTCCAATAAGGCAATTAAAAAGACATTTTTCTAATCATACTGTTTGCTGATCTCCACTTTTTCTGTGAAGCAAAAAAAACATTAACAAATGCTTAATCATTTTAAAACAGGAATCCCTGCAAAATATCAACCTTCTTGTCAAATACTAATATATTAATTACTCAAACTTTCTGTATTCTAGTTAATGTGTTAATATTTTATTAGTCTTCTTAAATAATGATTCGAATTGAAACCTTTGTTATTGTAATATTTAGATAGCTATGATAATTTTTTAAACATTATAAAACTTCTGTAATTTTTATGAAGATATTATCGTCTTTTTATCTTATTGTTTGGAACATCCTCCTTATTTTTTTCCACATCCTTTCTCATCCGAGATGACAACATACTAAATAAAATAAAGTCTGATTTCATTATCATTTTGATGACAGACTCTGATATTCTTTCTTCTTTACTCTTCCTTCTTCCGTTTCTTTTTCCCACATTCACTTGCTATTTTTTCTTTATTTTTCTTTATGAATGAAAGTTAAAAGACATTCTGTGTTAAATTTTACCATTTTCATTTCCCCCCTATTTTCTTGCTTTATTTCTGCTATTTTTATATCATATTTTGTATTAATTGATGATTTTGAAAGAAATAAACAAAACTGGTTTAGACCAGTTGCGTGCAAGTTAATATATTTTTGGAAAGAATTTAAATTGCTATATATTAACTAATTCAAATAACCAATGTTATACATGTAGAATAAAGAAAGGAAAAGTTTCATTAAATTAAGGTGACGAAGGATGTCTGTTCACATGACTCGGTTTAATTGCATCATAATCTCTGAAAAAATATGTGCAAAACAAGATTGAAACCACTGTACTTGTATATCTTTTTTACTGTTTGAGTTCATAATTTATTAAAAAAATGTCTAAAAGGATTCACACTTTTTTGCAAATATCATCACATTACGGAATAGTTTGATCCTCTGTTCTGTTTCCCCACACTGCGCGCCAAAGGAGTCTTTGACGTTATAGTGCATCTCTTTGTACAGTAAGATTATACACGGTAAAACACAGGAAGTGTATTATCATAGAAATGGTTCATGACACGTGTTTCTCATACTCATGTCTTGTTTAACTATGTCCAGTGAAAAATTGAACTCAGTTTCACCAATCAATATTTTATTACAGTAAATCAAACACATGACGATCTGGCATTAAAATTCAATATTTTCAAATATTAAATTATAGGATTTTTCCATCTTCAGATACCATGTGACGAAAGAATCTTGCTCTTTTCGAATTTTTAACCCTATTCGTACTCTGAATATTTTAAAAGACATCGCTGACAGATTCTTTATCTAATGTTGAAAAAAATATACGGAGTGAGTTATGGGTCCAGAAACATGGAGAATCAAAACTCCACTAGGACACTGTGGGACAAATAATTTGTCATTCAATATCACAAAAATAAGTCTAAAAACCTATTTATGTGTCTGCTTAAAGGTATCTGGGGCATACTAAATTAGACATGTACAAAGTCTTTAAAAAAATGAGGGACATATTTTTCAGCTTTTTTGAAGGTCCTTCTTACCCAAAAATGACTTAATTTGAATTTATATCGTTGGGGATCCAAGACAAGCTATATACATGATTATGCAATACCAGTGTTCGTACTAATCGAGGTATAGTGTACTACATGTACCACATAATATTGAACAAGAGTCTGTTTTTAAGCTATATCAACATTTCTAAGTTTTTTAATTTGATACGAATAAAAGAACATTCGGTGAACATTTTTAAGATATACATGGAATAATCCTTCACGTCTCCCTAAATCGTCGCGGTAAAGATCTTAAATCCAAGCTTCGCGAAGTGAACAATTCACTACGAATGGAATGGTATACATGTAACTAGATATAAATAACAAACAATTATATGATTGTTATGATATTAAAATTTGCATAATATGCCATAAGGTATTTCTGTTACAAATACGTGTATTTCAATAACTGCATTTTGACGAATGACTATGGGTACACGAAGTGTGTTTTTAAATTCATCTACAAAATGGCCCATTTCCTTTCTTTGAACATTGATGGTAGTGCTTAGATTATATTATAGCAGAAGTAAAATAAATTTCTTCCTGGTCAAAGAAAAGATTTTTTAAAAGAACATGAAATAGGCGTAGATACAGATGGTGTGTGCGTTATGAAGTTGTCATTATCTTTAAAAAAAAATACATCCTTTCAGCTTCTAAAAAGGAAGTAAATTAAAAAAAAATATTTCAGTGGCTAAAATTAAACAAGGAATGAAAAAAAAATTGATATTAAAACAATTTACGATCCGACAGATGTACATGAAGTAGCTTGCTCTTTACAATTGCATTTAATCAAGTATGAGATTTAATGTTAGTAATCCATGGTTATTATACGTTTGGATTAATATCCTACCTTTTGCTTTTTGTTATGGTAGGTATCCCTTTCCAACAATCAACTCAAATCTTCTAAATAGTAATTTACAAAGCAGCAACTTTTGGAAATATCTCTTTTTATTATTATATTCTATCAAGAGGAATAAAAATAAATGAAATTCACACATTAAAAAAGGTCATACATCCATACACATGAGTTTATGATGTTTGCGTATCATTTTGTTTAATAAATTAACAAAATTATCGCATAAACAGAACAACATATGCAAAATATGGCTCTTTTTTGTAAACAATGCTACAATGTAAAAGGATTTTTAACAATGAATAAAATTAGTATACTTAATATTCTTCATACAAAGATCAAAAGTTTTATGTTATGTATTTTTTTGCCATAAATTAATGTTTTGTTATTTTCCAAAGACCAACTTGTAAATATTAGGAGTACAATAGTGAGCAAAAGTTCCACATTTAAATATCGATCTTACTCTGGGTCTGCTGACAAAACAATTGAAGGAAATTTCGATCAAGGGTATACAAATTGCATGCACACAGATGCTGGAAGGCAAGAAGCCTGGTTACAAATTGATCTTGGAGGCATCTTCAATTTGAAAAGCGTTAAAATATGGTACAGGCAGGACATAAATAGTAAGATATTTTCATATATTTTCTTTGTTCCAAGTTAAAGGTTAAAGGGGAAACAACACCTACCCTTTAATGCACATTAAACAGTTCTGAGTCTATATTATTTTATTGTCTGCAGTATGAGTAACCTTTTCTCTGAATTAAATTCAGATTAATACAAATATACAGTACATTACTTAATTTGTAATCAATTGACGTATTGTTTACATTTCAAAAGGGCAAGATAAATTAATTGAATAAGTTTTTTACTTGTATTTTCTCTAAGAAAGTAAACAACACTGATTTCTTTTCATGGATACTGTGCTGTGCTTGAACATTTTTTTCCTCATGGTATATATGCCATGTATCAAATATCGAAAATAAGTAGATATTCTCACTATTAACGCGGGTATGTTAAGGCAGCACATGGATCAAAAATCGGCGAATTAACACTTTTTGATAATTTTGTAATACTAATAAATCGGAAAAGTTAAGAATAAAACTTTTGCTATAATTATGCATTCTATACACTTCAATGGAATTTATACCACAGTAAGCACTTCACCATGACGTCACCACGTGGTGTCAATAATTAGAAAATATGCCTTAATGAAAAAGTGAAAAGATCAACACTACCTCGGGGATATTAAGTTTTGATTTGTAATAATAGTTATGTAAAAACATCTCTGTAACATAAAAAGTGCTGCTAGAATCCTATTTTCCTATCACAGAAATAATTATTAAACATTTTCGAAACAAACCTTCCCAAAATTTTTTAATTTTGTTCATAACATCGAAAAAAAAATGCATCAATTCCCGTAATCCATACGATTCTAGCAGCACTTTCCAATAGAATAAGAATCTTTAATGGAAACAAAAATAAAGATTAAAGGTATGCAGCGTAGTGTTGAACTTTTGCATTTTTTTTTGTTACAAACGGCAGAGGAAAGGCTGATCGGCAAGTAAACACCCTCCCTGGTTTAATTTTACGAAGAAAGTGAAGAATTATATTACCGTACCTTATTTATAAGCTTTATTCCCATATGAATCACACATGATATTCCTTCTGAATGCTTTTAAGCTCCGATTTCTAGTGTTTGTTTACATAAATTCTCGTTACGTTTCACTTTCACTCTGCTACTACATGATCAACAGTCATGACGTCACGGGTTTGGTATGTAACCCCTGTGATAACTACAGAGGCCCAGTAATGACAAATTTCTGTTTATATTATGCCTATATATATTTTAATTAATTTTTAAGACCTCAAATAAATCTTAGATATCGATTTTAAGGAAATTGTTAACTCTAAACCTCACGTCATATTGCTTACTATGACGTCATAGCATATAGGCAAGTAGAATATTTGGATGTTACCTTAACCTACCTGCGAACATCTTAATTCAAAAGAAGGTTCTTAACGTCCAAAACATTTTGCACCGCTGTTAAATGTTTTAAGAATATCCTTTTTCCTGTTTCCTGTTTCGACTGTTGATCAACAGTTTTGCTTGAGAATTAAACTGAAAAAGAAATTTAAACATTTGCTTTATTGGGATAATCGTGATAAAACAATTTGTGCAAATACACGTACGCTGCTGAATACATATTGTAATAGAACTATTTTCAATAGTGCGGGCTTTACGAAGCATTGGAATTTTTTAAGAGTTTCATGTTTCATATCGTTTTCGTCGATGTTATGTGTGTGGTTATATTCTGCTTTGATTTTAGTTGATTTAAAATAGTATAGTGAATTGGAATTGTAAGAATTAACGTGCGTGAAATCGCTTGACGATGTATTTGTATCAATGTTTCTACATATAGTTGGCGATAAACGTACTGTTTGTTCAAAACTAAAAGAATGTATAAAAATACACATGTGCATCATTTTAACTATTCCAAGACTTAATTTTGAAATTATGAAAATAATGCTTTCTAAATAGAAAATATGTGGGAATTTCTTGAGATATTCTTTATTAGAATTAAAATCGTAACATATCTTGAGGTCTGGACTGTTAATTTTAATTACTCTATATGGCATAATATACCATCGTCTTCCACCTTCCTCAAATAATTTATTTTCTCCACGAATTAGTCTACTCTGCTCTGTTTTTTGCAAAATCAAAACAAAATGTTTGTTGTAATTGAGCATTTATTGTAATGCCAAACAAATTAACCAAATATGTGTAAAAGTTACATATGACCATATTTGAATATATCCTTTATAAGGATATTAATATACATAAGGAAAAGATACAAATATGACTAGAAGAATTTACAAAAAAGATGGGAGAACAAACACGCCATATGGCATGTTGTTTTAAATCACAATCATGTACACTCTAGCCATTAAAATGAATAGCCAAGAGGAAAAAAAATAAATATGTACTAATTTCAGATCAGACAGTTTACTCGCGCAATTAAAGCCCACTTTCATTTTTTTAAATACTTTGATTTTCTTTTACAATCTGTCCACAACCAAAATATGCCACTTTCACTGCACATAATGTTTGCACGTATACGGTATTAGTAGATATATATTGTCGCCGGCTGAAAAAAGGGCACTCGTGAACAAGTACTTGTACACTACTCTCAAAGATCATATTGACGGGTGTGCTTAAATATTGTTTGGTAGTTTTACTAATGTAATATTTGTGTAAGACACACAGATGTGTCTTGTATGATATCTAATTGTAAGTCATATGTAGCTTGTACATATTGAATGACAATATATGAACATGGAAATGATTCCATACAAATATCATTTATCATAATTTTGCTATTTCTGATATTATTATTTTTAAGGAATCATCCGATATTTCTTTGTAAGGCTTTTATCGCCAATTGAAGCCCCGTCCTAAGATTTTGGGGTTTTAATTTGAATCTCAGGCAAAAACAGGCAAAAAAAGACAGACAGACAAACAGACAGGCAAACGCACTGGGCATAAAATGTATATCTCCAGATCTTTGATTACGAGGGCATGGAAAACACTTATCTTGGTTCATATTGTCGCAGATAGTGAACGTATGTCAAGATTGTCGCTGACGACAAATTAACAGAACGACAATGTGTACAGCCACAGCCTTATATCCGATATCATAGTATAAAAAAAAAAATACATGCCTCCACAAGCTCATTAAAATCCTGCTCAATACTTTGTATTAAGTTCCCGAGAAATGAATCGAATTCTTTCTTAACACACCCGTATACTTTTACACATTTTTTTTTCTTTTTTTTTTAAATTTGCATTACTTATGACAAATCCTACCTATGTATTTATGTATTTTGATGTAACATTTATTAACCAGTTTGATTAAATTTTGAGAACCTGTAATCTTTCATTTAACTTTTCAATATGTTGAAACAGACTAGACAGGGAACAAAAACAAGGCTTTTACAATATTCCATAAATAATAACCTTCGGTGCATTAAGGCAATTAAAGGGAGAGAGATTAATTATTTTTCTTTTAATCTGCTTATGTGTATTTAAATACAATTTTATAAGATTGTTTTATGTGTTATTGACTTTTCTTTTCTTTTGAAGCATCAAATAAATTAATTAGTTCTTTTCAGGGGGAAAAGACCAAAACACGAAAAGACTCAAAGGAGTTTCCATTTTTGCGTCATATGAGCCAGTTGTGACGTCATACACATCAACAGTAGATAAGAGGTACCAATGTTATAAAGATCCAGGAAATGTGACTCTTGATACAGAACTTGAATTAAACTGTACACGTTTAGCGCAATATGTAACGATTTACAATGATCAGATGAATGACGAAAATGGTGTATTTCTGGAGATCTGTGAAGTGGAGATTTACGGTATGACTTGCTGTTTTTCAAAGTATACAAATCTAGGAGAACATCCTCAGTTCACTAGCTGACAAGACACCTAGGATCTATTTGGCAAAATTTAGTAGAAATAAGAAAAGTGCAAGTTTTTAATTCATAGAATAGCATTGATTGATTGATTGTATATTGTTTAGCGTCCCTATGGTCGGCACTCGGGGCCTTTAAGCAGTGAGGAATCTTTTTCGTGCCAGCACCTACTGCGACACGGGGCCTCAGTTTATGCGGTCTCATCCGAAGGGCCGGTGTAACGTTGAATATTGACCCGAGTTGAAAATTGACCCGGGGGTCATTTTTCAACGTTGAATATTGAACCGGGGTCATTTTTCAACGTTGAATATTGAGACTAAAAGTCGTTGAATTTATACCCGGGGTCATTTTTCAACAGCTTGATAATTTTTTTTCTTACACCTGATGACGTCAACAAGTTGAAAATTGACCCTGTTGAATATTGACCCCACTTCAAAGTTTGAACATTTTTTTTAGCTGGGAAGTTGTTTAACGGGATTTATCAGTATCACATTATTTATATTTTGGTTTTAATTTTTTCCCTTTTCAAGAATAAAAGAAATAAACATACAGTATCACCCCGTGTATATATGTACATTTTGATCAGTGCACGGTTTCAGTTATCTTTGCAGGGGCGTAGCAACAGGGGTCAGGGGCAGGGGAGCCTCCCCCCCCCACACACTTTTTTCTCAACTATAATGTTTGCTTGCTTTTTATTATAGACTCTCGGAAGAGGTAAAAAACTACAATAAACAAAACAAAAACAACACATTACTATGAGATACAAACACAAATTCTACACAATTTGCTTCAAGACAATGGAAATAATGGCGGGAAAATATTATAGCTGTAGATTGTTTACATTACATTCCGATCGTAAAAATAGCCTAATAAGTGAAATAGCCTACTTTGCAGTTAACAATAAGTAAATAAACATATATCTTTATCATTTATAATACATATGAAACTTACTCTGTAGTGGATCGAGCTTAACTATAAGAAAAATTGCTTGCAGTGTGCTGCACTTGCAGCCATGTGTGTTTACATTACTTTAGATTAACTCGTACATAAAATCATACACAGCGTTAGACAGTTCTTACATAAAATGGTTCCACTACATTCCCCGCTTGATTTCTACTGGAAATCATATATGAACAAAATGATACACAACATCTTGATATATGAAAACATCTAGCATTTACACACTAAACAAGTAAATCAACTCTGATACAGGTCTTGTATACAGCACTGGTTTCTCATGTTTAATAACACGTAGTGACACTTTTCGAATTCGTCCGTCCTCACTTTCAAAACACTGTTGTACGATGCCAAGTGGCCACTGTATCCTGGGGGTCTCTGCGTCCTTCATCAGTACAACGTCACCTTCTTTGAGACTTGGTCGTTCGCTATTCCATTTCTGACGCGCTTGAAGTGTGGTCAGGTATCTTTCTCTCCACTGTTTCCAGAACTGATCAGCCAAGACTTGTACTTGGCGCCATTGTGACTTGATCATATCTTTCACTCCAAAATGCTGGAATGGCTCGACGCGCTGACCTGTCTTTTGTGTTAGGATCATTGCCGGCGATAAAACTGTTGGAGAATCTGGATCCGTGGACACCACAGCAAGAGGGCGTGAATTCATGATTGCGCATACTTCAGCCATGAGGGTGCACAAGACCTCATGTGTAAGGCGAGGGACGTGGGACAGCATGGAATCAAGGATGCGGCGTGCGATTCCTATCATACGTTCCCAAGCACCGGCTATGTGTGATGAATGGGGCGCGTTAAACTTCCATACAGTACCGCTGTTAGAAATAGTGTGCTGGTCCATCTTCAACATTGATGACTCCTACGAAGTTAGTTCCCCTGTCCGATCTTAGCTCAACAACTGGTCCCCTGAGAGATACGAATCTGCGCAGTGCATTAATAAAAGAAGAAGAGCTTAGTTCTTCAATCACTTCAATATGGACTCCACGTGTAACAAGACATGAGAACATGACTGCCCAGCGTTTCGAATTTGCACTGCCTCCCCTTGTCTTTCTGGTTACTATGGTCCATGGTCCAAATACGTCGACCCCTACATAGCTAAACGATGGACTCGGTGTTAGGCGTTCTGTGGGTAGATCAGACATCTTCTGGTACTCTGTTTTACCTCGAAGTTTGCGACATGGTACACAACTGTGGAGCATAGAGCAGATTAAACGCTTGCCACCTGTGATCCAATAACCAGCTCGACGAATGGCTCCCTCTGTCAGGTGTCGACCCTGGTGGTAAATAGACTCATGGTAGTGTCTTACAAGTAGTGTGGCAATGTAATGTTTGCCTGGTATAAGAATAGGTGTTTTCTCTCCAGTGGGAAGGTTGGCTCTTCTCAGACGCCCACCAACTCGCAATAGTCCTTCCTCGTCAAGGATGGGAGAAAGAGGTAAGATACTACTATTCTTTGGCAATGGCTGGTTGCTGTATAAACAATTCAACTCCTTAGAATAAAATTCCTGTTGAATGGTTTTTAGAATGAATTGCTCTGCTTCTTTGTAAAGGGTTAGAGGATCTTTCAGAGAACTCCGTTTACTAAACCTTGCAGCCAGTCTATTTATGTTGGCTAGGGCTTTCACTAGAGAATGCCATGATGAAAATCTGGTGAAGCGTTCTGAACCAATACCCTCCATTTCTTTCACTTCTGTTTTGAATGAGCTTAACTTGAGTTCTTTGTCCTCATCTGGATTGATAAGATTGAACGATTCTTGATCTTTGAACTGTAGTAAAGGAGGTCCCTTAAGCCACATACTGTTTTCTATTTTGTGAGCTTCTTGGTACCGAGTTGCCTGGTCCGCTGGATTGTTTTCGGTTGCTACAAAGTTCCACTGACTAGGTGAAGTAGCTCGTCTGATTCGGTCCACTCTATTGGCCACGTAGACATGAAATCGACGACTTTCATTGAAAATGTAGCCTAGGACTACCCTGCCGTCCGTGTAGAAATAACATGCGTCTTTGGGTATGTTAAGGTGTTCTGCTACAAATTCTGCAATCTCAACTCCAAGTACTGCCGCGCATAGTTCTAGTCGTGGAATAGTATGACTGTGGTGTGGTGCTAATTTCGACTTGCCCATCACAAAACCATGATCTGATTCTCCATGTTTATCGTACAACTTGACATAAGTTGCTACTCCTATGGCCTCTTTGGATGCATCACAGAAAGTGTGTAGCTCCCTTTGGCATGCATGCTGAATGTTGGCATACATTCTGGGAATCTTAAGTGACTCTAGATGTGATAATGACATTCTCCACTTTTCCCATTCTGTGTGCAGGTTATCAGGTATAGGCTCGTCCCAATCCACTGTGCTGTTCATGGCCTTTTTTAACACCAGTCTGCCTCCTAGTATAACAGGTGCAATGAACCCTAAGGGGTCATATATGCTATTTACTGTAGATAGTATGCCTCTCCTTGTAAATGGTTTCACATCATCAAACAATTGGTAAGTAAATGCATCTTGTTTGATGTCCCATAATAGGCCTAGACTTCTTACAGGGTCACTGAAGTCCATGCTAAGTACATCTTCCGATAAGTCCTCGGTTGGGAAACTCTTCAACACTTCACTGCTGTTTGACCTGATTTTATGCAATCTTATATTTCCGTTCTGTTTCAACACATCCTGAGTCTTTTTCATGATTTCTATAGCTGACTCTGCATCTGGCAAGGATACTAAGGCATCGTCAACATAAAAATGTTTGTTTACAAGTTCACACACTTGATTGCACAATTCTGTTGAATGATGATCACAGGCGGATTTTCTCAATCCAAACGTGGCAACTGCGGAGGATGGTGAATTGCCAAACACGTGGACGCACATTCTAAATTCCACGAGTTCATTGTTAATGTCATTGTCTCGAAACCACAAGAAACGCAAAAAGTTCCTATCTTCCTCATGCACATAGAAGTTGAAAAACATCTGCTCGATGTCTGCTGTTACCGCGACCTTTTCCTTCCTGAACTTCAAGAGCACACCAATCAAACTGTTAGTCAAATCAGGGCCGGTCATCAAAACATCATTCAGCGACACACCTTTACACTTTGCTGACGAGTCAAACACAACTCTTATCTTGCTTTTCTTAGGGTGAAATACCCCAAATATGGGTAAGTACCACTTTTCTTCATTAGTTTTTAAAGGTGGAGCTGGCTCGGCGTGTCCATTTTGGAAAATCTTTTCCATGAATGCACAAAATTGTTTCTCTTTGTCTGGGTTCATTCTCAAGTTTGTTCGTAACTTCCTGGCCCGTTGCAGTGCTTGCTCATAGTTGTCTGGCAATACTTGTCGCTTGGACTTGAACGGCAAGGGTGCACTCCAGTTTCCACTCTCACTTTTCCTAAAGCCACTGTTCATGACACTGAGGAACTCCTTATCTTCAATCGAGAAACCAATTTTGTCATCACTGCTTGTCTGTATGAAAACATTCTCTCCAAATTCAAAATCTGACTTTGGTCTGGTGTGAGTCTTCAGCTTAAAATCATTTGGGCATGGCTGTAGTATTGACGGACGTCCATTACTCAAGACGTGAACTTTGTTGGTTGTGATTGTTTCAGGTCTGTGGGCAGCTCCTAAACATGTCTCGCCAATGACAACCCAACCAAACCTCAGTTTCTGAGCATACGGTGCATAATTGTGTCCAATTCTCTGGTCCAACACATGATGAGCTGCTATCATGTCTCTACCAATAAGCAGTAAAATGGGTGCGTCTTGACCATATGGCGGAATTTCATCAGCTATATCCCTGAGGTGTTCATGATACCTTGCTACTTCTGGTGTGGGGATTTCCTCTCGCATGTTGGGAATCTGGTTGCACTCTATAAGGGTTGGCAATGATAGTCTTGTGCTGCCATCTAGAGACTCGATTATGTACCCTGAGGTCTGTCGTCCAGTTGTGGATATGTAGCCTGAACATGATGATAATACATACTCGATCTC